CAAAAATTACAGGGGTACTTTATTCGATTTGATGAATACCAGGGGTAACTTAAGAAATGAAACATGAGGGGATCAAGTTTCATATGTGGGTAGGGGTAGTGAAAGATGATATGGGGGTGCTTGGATAGGGGTATGGACATTCCATTGGCCGTTGTCCACGTAACTATCTGTAACGGTCTGTAACGTGTAATCCGCGCATGGCAAGTGCCTGCCGCGGAACTTGGCAATGAGGGACTAGAGGACGAGGAGGACGAGGAGGACGAGGAGGACGAGGAGGACGAGGGCGAGGGCGGGGGCGAGGGCGAGGACGAGGACGAGGCGAGGACGAGGAGTGATGGTGAAGAGAGCGAGAGATAAGGAGAAGGAGAACGCTGTGAAAGAGACGGGGATGGAGTTGAGGAAGATTACGAAGGAGGAGGAAGAGAAGACGACAATGGCAAGGACTGGAACCCAACAAACTGTTGATCCCATGCCATGATGCTCCAACCTTGCCAACTTGCACTCGCACCCATCAAGTGAAGCCGTCTGACTTCTCCTGTTCACATCCGTTCGTAATCCCAGCGCTGCTTGCCTGCATTCGTGTGCCTATTTCCTTGGTTTCCTTTGCTCTTTCATCTTGCCTACTCTGCTGTGACTCAGTCATCATACAAACATCGGTGTTTCACTTGTATCTTGCAGTCCCTTGCTTTCTGTATCCCTCGCATTGTTCTTGTGGATTCTCAAGTCACGTTGTAGTTCCTTTCCTTGCGCTGCATGCCATCTGACACTTTCGCTGCATCGGCAGAACTTCTCGTCATGTTTTGAAGTCCCACAGACAGTGAAGAGTAGAGTGCAATCTTGATTTGCAACGGCTGGTCAATCTTTCGAGCATGTCGGGCGGCTCGTCTTGGTCGAACGCGGACTTCCGGTCCCTGCTCTCCGGCAATTCCCTGAACGTTGCAGTGGGACAGACATGCAAGCTGAAGCACGAGGACGGGAGCACATCGGACGTGGAGATCGTAAGGCTGAACGTTCATCCAAACCCGATCATGCACGAGGTCAGGCTGGGAGGGGAGATCGTGCGGGTGAACGCAGATTCCCTCTATGTGGAAGAGGCTCCGAAGCAGAACACAGTGAGCTCAAGGGGCGTGTGGATCGAGTACAAGACCCCGGCGGGGAGGAGTTACTTCTACAACAGGTGAGCCCTGTGGTTGTGTGAGTTGGTGTTCAGTCCAGCTGTCTGCCTGGGCTTGCCTCTTGTTGATCAACCGGTGATGAACCGGTACCGCTGAGTGCGATCCGTACCTTGTGCGTCCTTCATGCCTGCTCTCCTCCCTGTACGCGATCCTCCTGTACTCTATGTAGTAAGGAAGCTACAAGATGCCAGACTCCCCCCAACCTTGACATCGTTACTCACGCTGCCTCTGCTCAGCTTTAGCGGGGAGACGTCGTGGATCAGACCGACGACCGGGAGGATCCAGAAGGGCGCTGTCATGCGGCCCGTCCCCGGCACCGACTGGTCCGAGTGCTTCACTCCCGCTGGTGACCGGTACTTCTACAGCAGGCGGACAGGGGTGACTAGCTGGGAGGTGCCGGAGGAGATCGCTTCCTTGGTGATGGGGCCGGGGGATGATGCAGAGGAGGAGATTGCAGTAGAGGGAGGAGGAGGAGGGGAAGGAGGGAACAATGGGGTGGCACAGCAAGGCTCGGCCGGCAATGCTGCAGGAGGTGAGGGCGGGGACTTGATTGTGGCTGGAGGCGGAGGGATGGAGGAAGTGGAGATGGGGGAGGAGGAGGCGTTGGAGGAGAAGAAGGCAAAATTCAAACGCTTCCTGCTGGAGAAGGGAGTCGTGGCAGGGTCGAGCTGGGAGAAGGAGCTTTCCAAGTTTTGCTTTGACAGCCGTTACAAGACTATCCTGGACAACCCGAACGATCGCAAGTCGGTGTTCCACAGCCTGAACAAGATTGATGTGATGAAGTATAAGGAGGAGCTGATGATGGAGGAGGCCAACAAGAAGGCAGCGGTGGTGGAGGAGGCCAAGAAGCTGCTGGAAAGCTTCGAACGCGACGGGACCTTGACGTATGACATGGACATAGAGAGCGTCTGGTCTCACCCCGTGATGGGAGAGAAGCTCAAGGCTCTGGATGTGGAGCGGACGGAGAGGAAGCTCATTGTGCTGGTGAAAGAGCTGACGCACAAGAAGTTTGCAGAGAAGAGGAAGGAGGTGAGATTAGGACGTCCCGTTCCTCTTCCCCGTCCCCGATCCCTTCCTGTGCCTCCTCCTCCGAATCTTTCTTCTCCTCCCCCTCCTCACAGGCTCCTCCTACACTCCCCCTGCCACTCCCCCCTGCACGTCAGATCCGTTGACGTGCATGCTGCAGGTGGCTGAGCTTGAGGAGGCGATGAAGGAGAAGATCGTGGCGTTCGTGCACGAGAGGAGGCACAAGGAGTGGGTGCCCTTCAGAGAGAGTCTGTGCGAGCAGGACGAAGAGAGATGGAGGGACGTCGGGGAGGAGACATGGAGGGTGCTGGAGCGATGCTTCCTCGAGGCGGTCAAGGCGATCCCCATACCTGTGGTGAAGGAGAACAGGCCGTCCAAGGGGAAGGGGCTCAACCTGTTCAAGAAGAAGCCGGCGAAGCCCGCCGCTCCCGCCGCTCCTGCTGTCCCGCCCGAGGAGAAGAGGGAGGGAGGCAGGGAGCGGTCTCGGTCGAGAGAGCGATGGAGGGAAAGGTCACGGGAGAGAGGAAGGGATCGGTCCAGGGAGAGGGGGAGGGATCGATCGAGGGAGAGGGACCGGTCCAGGGAAAGAGGGAGAGACCGGTCAAGAGATCGGTCGAGAGAGCGTTCCACGTGATATTGATGAAGATAAAGACATTGAAAACCTGGGTGCTAACAGATATGAAGGAGGGGATGGAAAAACTTTGTTGACACGTGCTTGTTGGTTCACTTGCAACCGAGGATAGAACAGGAAGACAAGGAAAAACATCTCGAGAACTTGGCGTTACACACGTCATCACTATCCTGCTGGTTTGCACTATCAACTTCCCACCTGCTCTGTCCTCCTCTCCGACCTCTTCCCACTCCTCACTCGCGCCCCGGGAGCGCCCGGGCATGTCCCAGCGACTGGGAGATGCGAGGGAGCTGGGAGGGCGGGACCTGCGGCATCTGGAAGAGGAGGCGAATCGTGCGAGAGGAGGCTCGCTCAAAGAGGTGGGTAGAAGCCTCTAGCAGGAACCTCTGCGCCTGCGGCTTCTGCCGGAGAGACTGGTACACGTCACGTGCCAGGGCCGTCAGGCGGTCGGGCCGCTGGAGGTAGCGGTCCAGGAAGGAGCTCGAGCGGAGGAGCTCCAGGCGGCCGAGGGCTTCGCGGAGGGAGGGAGGAAGCTGGGGGAGTCTGGGACTGTCAGGAAGTGGTCCGGACCGAAGGATGTCGGGGAGGAGGACCCTGGAGGAGGAGAGAGCATACTCAAGAGCCTCGAGGCCAAGTCCGTCGACAAAGTCAGTCAGGTCGTCCACCTGGCAGAGAAGTAAGGAGCTGAGATGGCGCGGGGTTAGCATGAAGGGAACTGGTGGAAGAAGGACAGAGGAGGATAGGAATAGATGGAGGCGAGGAGGAAGAACGAGGACGAGAAGAATGGAGGAAGGGGGGCGAAGGAGGGAGGAAGGAGAAGGAGGAAGGAGGGGAGAGGGAGGGAGACGGACGCACCATATTTTCTCGAACTTGCTCGTTCTCCTCCGAGAAAAGAAAGTCAATGAAAAGCCTCGAGGCCTGCGACAGGTCCCACTCGTCGAAGTCGGACGCCGACTGCAACAGGTTCTCCAGCCGCTGCCATCGCACCTTCCGCTCCCTCGTCAGCACCATGTACTCCAGAGCATCCTGGAGCTGCGAGTCGGTAAGGACGCGGCTGGCAATGTAGGGATACGCGTCGTTGATGATGCGGAACTTTCCGTCCACCTGGATCGCAAGCCCCTCCAGCACTCCGAGGCATCGCACAATGGCGGTGTAGTAGGGGGGCAGGTTGAAGGGGAACTTGTACATCACGTCGCCGAGCTCTCCAATAACGTTCTTGATGTTGAACGTATCGACGGAGGAGCCCAGCACGTCCGGGAGCGCCTTTGTCAGTGCATCCTCGATCGGCTGCACGTCCGTACCCGGCGGGATGAAACCAAGGCGCACGTAGAGCTTGCAGAGGGAGTTGAAATCTCGGTTGACCATATGGATTACTGCCTCCAAGATGCCATAGCGCTGGTACGGCTCCACCTCCGACATCATGCCGAAGTCGAGGTAGACGAGTTTCCCGTCGCTCGTAGCAAGCAGGTTCCCTCCGTGGGGGTCAGCATGGAAGAAACCCTTCTCAAGCATCTGCTGCAGGGAGCACTGGACCATCGCCCGGACAAGCCTTGTCTTGTCCTTTTCGGAGACGAGGGGGGAAGTGAGACGAACTCCCTCAACCCACTCCATGACCAGCACCTTCCTGCTTGAGAACCTCCAGAAGATCTTGGGTACATAAATGTCCGGGTTGTTCCCGTAGAGCTCCGCGAACCGCTCTGCATTCCTCGCCTCCTGCAGGTAGTCGATCTCCTCGTAGATGAGCTTCCCGAACTCCTCCACCACGGACCGAAGGTCCAGGTCCCTCCTGAGCAGCTTGATCATCTGGCTCAGCGTCCCGCTGAGCTCTCGGAGGATGTAGATGTCCAGCGCAATGACCTCCTCACACTCCGGACGCTGCACTTTGATCGCCACCGCCTCTCCTGTCTTGAGGTAAGCCTTGTACACCTGCCCGATGGACGCTGCGGCGACGGGCTCGGGCTCCACCCGCTCGAAGATGTCTTGCAGCTTCATCCCGAGCTGGTCCTCGATGATCTTGAACGCGACTTCGTTGGGGAAGGGGGGCAGGCGATCCTGCAGCTTCTGAAGCTCCTGGAGGTACTCAGGAGGAAGGAGATCGGGACGGGAGGAGAGGGCCTGCCCGGCCTTGATGAAGGCAGGGCCCAAGTTCGCAATGAGCTCCATGAACTCCTTGGCCCTCCTGGGTCGGTTCGCCTTCTCCACGCCGCGCTGGAAGTCCAGGAGGACCTGGCCGAGGAAAGTCGTGAACGGCACTGAGATCTGCATGTCCCGACGCCACACGTCCAACGTTCGTAGGTTGAAGTACTTTTCCGCCTCTATGGGGTCGTAGCGGGAGCCCAAGGCTGCTGACTTAGCCGCCTGCTGCGCCTGCTCCTCGAGCAAGGCGTCTCTTGACTTGCCACGGGCTCCTGTGTTGAGATCTGCACCCTTGGGAAGCGCCCGCGGACGAACCCGCGGAGGTTCGCTCAATGCGGAGGAGACGTGTAGCACCCTCTTGCCAACCCTCATGGAGGTTTGGATTCCAAAGGGAGAGACGGAGAGGAGATGGCATGCCGAGAGGAGTAGAGGTAGCAGGACTGACTTCCTAGTTGGCATCTTACTAAACATTGTCGACGGTGCACGGCATGAAACAGAGCAAGGTTGTAATGAAACCCCTGCAGAACACCGTGAATGAGATAAAGAAACACAACTCCATCCTTCCATTTTCCCCTTCACTAGGTCCTCTCCACCCTTTGTCCTGCGCTATCCACCCCTGCACTCCTCCGACTCCCTCGTCCTCCTTCCGTCCCCTTATCACTCACTCCAACCTCACACAATCATCACCTTGCGTCCTCCATATTCTCTCATTCTCCTCCCTGCTCCCCTCTCCCTCCTCCCTCCTCCCTCCTCTTCCACCACCGATGCGGGGCGTCAGCTCAAGCAGTGCTTTACAGGGTTACCACCACCCTACACTACGACCCCTTTAACTCACACCTACCACCCCCTTTCGCAGGCTGCTGCTTGTGACATCAGTTTTTACTGATGTGCGGGCCCGCCTCATGCTCTAGCCCGGCCCGGGCCGGCCGCCGGGCGGCCGACTCCGCCGGCTGACTCACTGAGGCTCGGACCGTGGCCCGGTCTCCGCCCCTCTCCGACGGTACCGTACTACGTATCCAGGGGGAGGTCGACACCGCCCGGTACTGGCTTATCAGTGGAAACCACTGCATGATACACAGAACTCCGGCTGATTACTACTAGTTACTATCTACAAAAGTTTGTCGAAGACGTCGAGGGTGAGGACTCGTGATTTGAAGTTCCACTCGGTGACGACGGAGAGCGAGGCAGCCCCAGACTTTGCCAGCTGCGCTCCCCTCCTCACTGCTAGTAGCTCGAGCTCGTCCTGCTCACTCAGATCGTTCCCAGCCGCCACGAGAGTGCGGAGCGACGGGAGGCTTTGAACGAGCATGAGAAGAGCGTCCTTATTGACGCCTGTCCCCGACACGTTGATCTCGCACAGAGGATGACAGCCCTTGTCCTCTCCCCAGCACAAACTTTGCACGGCGGCCGCACTGAGGTTTGAGCAGCAGGAGCAGTTGAAGACCTGGAGCCGCACGCAGTTGAGCAGCGAGCGGTTGACGCAGGAGTCACTGAAGCTGGTGCAGCTAGAGATGTCGAGCAGCTCGAGCTCGGACGCATGCTTGCCCAGCGCCCTCAGGCTGCGGTCCGTGAGCAGCTTGCATCCTCTTAGGATGAGCTTCTTGAGGCGGCAGGACCTGACGAGGCCGATGAGCGACGCATCCGTCACCCGCACGCACTCCGATATGTCGAGCTCCTGCAGCTCCTTGCAGCCCACCAGGTTCATCAGCCCTGAGTCTGTGAGCTGCGAGCACTTGGAGAGGGACAGCATACGCATCCGCGGACATCCTAGGGTTGTGTGGAGCGGGAGATCGCTGTTGGCTGCTTCCTCCCAGTCAAGGCTGTCGCTCTCCCGCACCTGCACCCGAGGGCCCATGTTCCACACCGCGTCCGAACCCACCTGCGGGCATCTGGACAAGTTGAGAGCTGTCAGATTCGAGCTCGTCCGCACCACTTTGACCACAGCCTCCTCCGTCAGTCTCGGAAGGCTCCCAACGTCCAGCATCACCAGCCGGCTGCTCCCCACCACAGCAGCCAAGCAGTCATCCGACAGCCTCGGGCACTCTCGGACCCTCAAGTCCACCAGCCTCCGGGCATTGAGCATCAGCCGGGTCACAGCGAAGTCCGTCACTCCCTCGCAGCCGCTCAGCCAGACACTCTCCAGCTGCTCCAGGTTCTTCACCAGGCTGATCACCCCCTGCTCACCGACTGCCGAGCGCCGAAGATCCACATGCTGCAGCTGCGGGCAGTTGTTTGCCACATACTTGATAGAATGATCGCTGATTAGATAGCACCTGGGCAAAGAATGACGAAGTCAAGTCCAGCAATACAGCTCATGACGCACAAGATCTTACCCCTCGAGATGTAGCGCTCGCAGATCTGTCATCCAAGGGATCAGTTTGATCAGAGAAGCGTCCAGGATCATGTTCGGTCTCCACTTTGCTGCAGCTTGCAGAATCTGGACACAGGGCTCACGAGGGCAAGGATACGAGGGTAGTGCAACCTTCTCCATGAGCTCTTCTGGAATGTAGTATGGGTTCCTTTCGAAGATTTGAACGCCTGGTGCACAGTGATTGGGCAAACTCCGACATTTTACAGGGAGTTCCATAGTTCCACTTACTTCCGCTGGCGATCACTTTGCCGACTGCTTCATAGCAGAGCTCCAACAGCCTGTGAAGGTGCTCTGAATGTCCGAACAGCAAGCCATCAGCACTTACGTCGGGAAATGGCTCTCGCCCGAAGGACCTGGGTTGTTTACGGCGTCATGCGAACAAAAAGAGGAGTCAGGAGAGGTGAAAAGTCGAAGAGCGACAGCGCGCTCAAGAGATAGGAAGGGCACGAGCACATACCGGCATTCATCAGTGGCCTCGTCCTGCTGCTCCTCCTCTCCTTCCCCTCCGCCACCTCCTGCTGCCGCCATGACCACAGCCGAGCCCCGAGTTCCTGCATGGCACCACCTTGCATTGGAACAATTGACGACTTGTGGGGCAGAAGATCATCAATAGGGAAATCAATAGAGGGGAACCAAAAGGGCAGCGATTTTATAATATCGTTGTATAACCCGGGGTGCATGTGCAACATGCCCGGGATCCGTTCCTGCCCTCCTCGCCCCCTCGTGCCGCCGCTCCCTCCCTCCTCCCCCCTCCTAGCCCTCCAGCGCACTACTCTAGCCTTTCCTCTTCCCTCCTACACTCCTAGCGCACTACTCTAGCCTCTCCTCCTCCCAGCGCACTACTCTAGCCTCTCCTCTCCCCCCCCCTAGCATACTCCCTCCTACCGCAGCTCCCCTCGTCCTATCGTTCTCACTCCTTTCCTTCTCATGTTGTTGAACTCGCTCGCTCGCTACTTTCCCTCCAACGTCGCTGTCTCCGTCTATCTTTCCCTGGCTGCTCTCCTCCTCTACAACGATTCGATTTTCTTTCTCCAATTGAGCTCCTACCTTTTAGTTCCGTTCGCCCTCTCCCCTGATTCAACATCGATCATTGCCTCTTTCTGTTATCTCTCTCCCTTTTCTCATTCCCGCAACAACCCTCCACGATCTTGCTCCTTCATTCCCCTCTCCTTCACTCTTCCCGCTCCCTCCATGCTTGCTTTGCTCTTCATTCTTGTAGGATGGTCCTGCTGTCTCTCAACTGAGACATTGCTTCCGCCTATATTTCTCCGCTGATTTATTCTGCTTTTGCTGTGTCGAGGTTACAACTTTGACTTTCTCGTTGCTCTGCCATTCCCCCTCTTCTATGTCCGCGCTCGCTCTCCTCGCGGCCTTTCATTGCATATCTTTCGCTTATTCCTCCTTGGTATTCCTTTGCTGTCCCCTCGAAAGTTCTCTATCATTCTGAGAGCTGATATGAAGCCCCTCCCTTTCGATCCTTTCAGTGCTCAGACGAGCAGCTCTCTCAAGAATGCATCGCTCTTGATGCTCGCATGGTAGTTTGTGAGGAGGTTAAACGTGAGTGTCCACCACCTGTACGCCATTTGATGACTCTGATGACCTTTGAGCCGATCATAGCACTGGAGTGCTACTGACGCTGTTGGCTCGAGCAGGGGGCATGAGCAAGGTTGAGTTCGTGGACCTGTCGGGGCTGCGGATCGATGGCCGACGGCCCAACGAGCTGCGAAAGGTTGTGATCAAGCACGGGAACTTGCAGAACGCGACAGGATCGGCGATCTTCCATCATGGCAACACCAAGGTGAGCGGGAAGTGCGTCCATTTTCCCAGCTGCTGACGTCCTCCTGCAGATTGTAGCAACTGTTTGCGGACCGAGGGAGTGCACATCGAGGTCTAAGGAGCTCCACGATCGAGCAGTCGTAACTTGCTCTGTCATCGTCTCCCCCTCGGCGTACTCGCACAGGAGGAAACGGAACAGAGGCGACCGGGTGGTCGCAGAGCTCGAGTCCCTCGTCAGGCAGACGTTCGAGGAGCTGATTTTCACCTCCATCTTCCCCCGGTCGCAGATCGACATCTCCGTCGAGATCGTCCAGGCGGACGGGCCTGTCAGGGCATGTGTCGTCAACGCCGTGAGCATGGCGCTCATCGATGCCGGTCTGCCCATCAAAGACTTCCTCTGTGCGTGCGAGGTCGGCTACATCGACGGGCAGCTCCTGCTAGACATGAACGGGGAGGAGGAGTCGGCGAGGGGCCCGGACCTGTACGTCTCCTACATGCCCTGCCAGGACGCAATCGTGTCCACGTTCCTCGAGCCGAGGCTGCCCCTTGAAGTCTTCGGGCAGGTGAGACTCTCTTCCTGTGCAAGGGTGGGGCAGGGCTGATGATCGTTGCCTCAGGCTCTTGACCTTGCCCTGAATGGTTGCCGTGAAATGTACAAAATGCTCCAGGTAAACCCCTCCCTCC